AAACACGTGGGTGGATGTTTAGATCCCAGAGAAAGTAACTGAAAATACAGAACCTTCCCTGGGAGGTCCCCTCACCACGTACAGGAATCCACGTTGAGGGGTTTGCCGAGGACTGGGTGTTGTGAAAATGTGCCCTTAAACTGTACATCACCACTGAGCTTCTGAAGAATTGCTTCGTTACTCCAGAAGTCAGAGGAGGAGGAGTATTTGGTTGACAATGATGCTGAATAAAACAGAGAGAATTAAACACTACACAGGCAACACATTATGATTATATCTTTGCCAAAATGTAAGAATAACCTGCATCACTTTTTCATTTCAAAAATATCCTCCAGGTATTTCTAAACCTTTACATGGTTGATGTTAGTAGAAAACAGACATAGAACTAGACCACACTGCTCTCCATTATATCTTCAGTGGGTGAATTCAACAAAATCAAAGGAAGGTAACATATGACAATGTTTAATGGGAATATTAGCAAGTTAATTGCATTTCAAGCTGGTTTTCCTGCTCATTAATTGTATGCTACAGAGAATAACTTTTGTGAACTTTCACCTGTCTGAACTAAACACCTTATAAGTTTGACACACCTACAAAGATGTAGATTTATCACCAGGAAAGTAAGTATGGATGGAATGTCCAATGATTCAGTGAAAAACGAAAAATTTAGAATGTTCTTGATTTCATTTCACTTTATAAATGGTTGTAGTTAGTTTACACAAGGCAGTATGTATTCACGTGTGTGGGTGTAGGAATGTGAACACACATTTCACTCCTTGAAGTGTGCTTTTGTCATGCTTAAAATGGCCTTAATTTTAAACTTCGAAATGAAATCATACAAAAATTTTATTTGTACACACATATGCATCCACATTATCTTGCTCTTGACCCTATTGAACACTAACATTGAAAATCACAAAGACAAGATAGAAACACATTCACATAAAACCTTTAACAATGATATCTTATCTATTACTGGTATTTTGACAGTACCATTGAAAATATTTAATAATGAAAGTTTACAACATTTTAATTGTATTTTCACATCACAAATGTCTAGTTTCACTTTATGACATTTTTTAAATAACTTGAAATAATATGCTTTTTAGATTACATAGTGATAATTTTCAGTAAATCTAAAGTAAAACACTTTAATTGTACACAGTGATACCTATCAGAAAATATATTTGTGGTTTCTGCTAGAACTTGAATGTCTGATGAGTCGGCCAGTAATATGTATTCATCTCTATTCTCCCCTTCAGTCATTAATGGATTCTTTGAGGGAATTGCTTAGCCACTATATTGTCATAAACTCCTCCTTTTTTTGAGAATTATAGTGGTCCAGAAAATGTGATGAATATAAATACAAACTTTTGGCAAGTCCTATTGAAAGCAAGACAGCCAGAAGGGTTAGAATTATATTTTATAGAGAAAAAGTGAAGACTTAAAATGTATAGTCATGCTAGTTTCCGAGTGGTCAGGAATTCAGCTACAAGTGTCCATTTGAAAGTAGTAGCTGCCTGGTTATAATTGCAGTTTGCTCTAAATTAAATTGTAGATGCCCAGTTTTGAAATTATTGCCCTGATCAAGTGCTATTTCTATAGGCACTTACAAACAAATATATTGCCTTTGGAAACTCCTAAAAGCATCTATGATTTTCCCAATTCAGTAAACTTGATACAGGACTAAGAAAAAAATGCTTTTAGCCAAGGTAGCATAATAACGTCTATTTAGATTTGCATAAGGTGAAAGCAGGAGAGAGCATTCCAACATCGTTAGTTAGATAATCAAACTGACAAATTGGTGGTTTTGTGAAATTTTTATTTTTACTCTACCAATTTTCTCAAATGCTTTGGTGGCTTGTTACTCTGTAGTTGGTTTGTTTACTATTCAATAGTATGTGTAAAGTGCTTATAAAGTTTTGTTTACATGCTGTTTGCAGTTTCTGAGATTTTAGTTTGTGTTGCACATCTGGCCCATTCCTACAATAAGTAGTACCATACTTATGATATTGACAAGATGTGTGATGAACTAAACTGAACAAGAACCCACAGAATACCTATAAGAAATTCTGATTGGTCAATCTTTACATCAATGCATTAACCTACCATATCACACCAGAAAACTTATTTACCGTATAGACCATTTTTCTTTGTACATATTTTAAAATAATTTATATGCAATACTTCTCTAAAGTGATTGATTGTATGTACATGTCTGAGAAACTTAAAAGGTTAGTTTAAAAATTATTAATCATTCATTCTGGTTATGAACAATAGAGATTGGAAAAATAACATCTCATACACGTTTTGCTACTATTCTACAAGGTTCAAAATATATGTTATGTAAAGTGTCACTCATGTTTTTTTTTATTGTATTTATTTTCTACTACTGGAGATCTAGATATTTGCATAAAATAAAGAGAAAAAACAAGAATGTTAAAGTTGTTTCAAATAACTGATATTAAAACTATTTAACACATATTATTAAAAAAATATACATTTACTGCATTGTTGGAAATGTATCACCAAAGTCATAATATTGTTGAGTTGAAACACATCAGTGACCATACACTAACATAATAATAAATCATACACATACTTTTCACTTTTTCATACATTCATAATAGAAGTGTTTCAAAAGCACATTCTAAATCATAAACTCTTTTCATGAAGTATAAGACTCTTGGATGAAATCTGAAGCAGACTGGAATTTCAACAATGTAGACATAAGTGATCTTAGTTGTCCAAGGGCTACTCTATGATTCTTTGATCGACTTTTGTATTTTTTACTGTTAACCAGTTTTTCTGCGAGATAATGTAGCCAGAGAATATTGGTGAAAGGATGAAAAGATTCCCATTCATTTCTGGTGAGAATAGAAATAAAAAATATATAAAAACATTAATTATTGAATGCTTTTAATGTCAAGTATAATCACACATATCTATTAACTTAAATTTTTTTATTACTAAACAAGATTAGAATTAGTAAAACAAAACATACTAAACCTGTAAATGGGCAACATCAAAGCATACAAAAATCAATATAAATGATAAAAGAAATTAAAGAAAAATAAAATTACTTAAAAAAACTCAAATTACTTTGAGGTATACCTAACTTGTTAATAATTGTTTAAAAATGGTTACTACTCATGAATATAATTTAGGTATATGGTTTGCTCACATGGAACATAATTTTTTATATGAAGATTTTTAATTATTTGTTCACATTTTTCTTACAAAACTAAAGTGTAAAAGTAAAACAAATAAATTTCTACAGTATATTAGAATTAGAAAAAAACTGAGAAAAGCAGAATGCTCTATTGTTCAAGATATTTTGACAAGTAAACATATCTCAAGTATTTTTAGATACACACATCAATCATTAGGTTATGTTTTATCATGAACACCTCCATTAACAATGCTCTGCTCTTGAATATCAGGTTGAGCAACACAAGAAACAAAAACACATTTATTATTTAATGATTTTAACAGAATAATTTTTACAAATATCCTGAATATCTTTTTTATATATAAAATAAATTTCCGTGATACCGAAGAAACCCTACAGTTCTAGGACTTTACAAAAAAAACTTTCCTTCTTTAAAAGGAGTTTACCTTTTAAAAAATGCTTAGGTTACGAGGTTTCTGAAAGTTAGTGGCATGCGAGTATTAAAAATGTTCAATTTGTACATATGTATGCAAATTTATTAAATATATGTTTGTCAAGAAAAGAACCTACAGCAGTGAAACATAAAAAGCAGAAAATCTCCCATCAGACTGGTGACTTAAACAACTCATCATAAATAATCCTCTAATGCTAACTATACATTATTTTCTCTAAACCTGAATTACATACATGAATCGAATATTACCAATAACAATTATACTCAGTTCTAGTGATCTGATCTTCAACACAATTAGAAATATTTTATGTAAACAAAAAAATACTATTTATCAATCTATTCTTAAAACAAAACTAAAATTAATAATAAACAAAATTTATCAAGCAAAAGTTGTGTATGCCTCGTAAACACTGTTCATTTTGTATGCAACATAAATGATCTTCTCAGTTATCTACTAAATTGTAAAAAATAATTTAATTACATTCCAGCAACTGAGCCTTAAGTATTGCAAGACTATATTCTTGCTTGAGAATGATACTGAAATTGGACCTAACAACCAATATTACCAGTGCACAATCTCGGAAATATGATAACTTTACTGATGCAAATCCTGCTAACTATGTTTCAACTTAAAACTGCACAAGATTGATGAAATGAGTGCTGACAACATTGACACATTCATGTGGCTGAAGTGAAATATGCAACACACACACAGGTAACAGCGATCACTGATGAAAATAGGGGATGCAGTTTAAATTCAAAGTTTTTATGAAATCTATGATATTTTGTTTTTAATAATACTCAGTTAGTGGAGGTTTTTCTATTAATAAATTGCAAAAGAACCAATAATTTATTAGGACCTTAGAAAAGAAATACTGATGTCACATTGTTAGCTGATATCATGGGATATGTGCATAATGATAAAAAAAAAAAAAAAAGGTTCCAAATAATGCAAGTGTGGTCTCTCGCTGTTTGGTCCTTTCTGTTAAAGAGTGCTTAATATTGAACAACAGACAAAGAATATCTGGTTATATACTAATGTTATCATTCAATCCTATAATTATCAAGGTCAATAAAATGCATAAATTTACCATTTACAGGCAAACACAGAATGCTTTTGGTGAAAAACGGATAAATTGAGTAACAGATACTGAGAAAATCATTTCACTTTAAGTATAACTATTTAATAAACTTTCAAATGTTTTGATTACAATCTTTATCACAGAAACAATATGATACATAATGGAAGCCTTGTCATAATTAAGAAAAAAAAAAACAGATGAATTATCAAACATGGTAAAGAGAGAAACAAGGAGGCCAAATTCTCTTGTTACTTCTTTAAGTAGAAATCTAGTAAACTGATAAGAAAAATTTAATCTGATTTCTAAAAGATGGGATATTGCAACCTTTATAAAATATATCATCTATAAAAATAAAAAGATATGAAACACTAAGCACTTGTGTAAAGATAACGTCACAAACTTTATGATTCCTTCTCATTCATTTGTAAAATAATTATACAGTTTAAAAACACTGAGTATTTCATTTCATTACAGCATTTGATGCACAGCTTTCCATAATTTTAGAAGATACCAGTAAAGGCTCCAACATGTATGGTCTTATGAATCCATTATGGCATTATTTTAATTAGCAACACCTCAACTTTTATTCATTTCCTCCTCAAAAACACCAAATAAACCATTTCCGGTATAAAAGCTTCACTGGCTTTTGCTATATGGTTTTTTTACCAACAATTCACTGCTTTGATGAAATAAAACAAACATGTTATAAGTACACTAATGCACCCTTTACACTTCAGAAAGTTATAAACCATGTGATGAGAGAAGTTTTCTACATAATGTAATTAACAGTGATCATACTTGCTTGTAGATATACTTTTTTGTAGATATTGAAGCATTAAAAAAACTACTTTGAAATAAATATTTATTTTTAGTAAAACACACATAACTATATTAATTAAATATAAGCCTTGCAATGTGAAGGTTTAGACACCTCAATATCACAATATATTAACAGCATATTACACATCTCAGATTGATGACTTTTTTTTCATCCACACAACATGCCTCATATTTACATCTCAAAATAACAATATACAATGTTCAGGAATATTATTAACTAGATATATGCAAAATTAGAGATAAAAAATGTTGTTGCCCAAAGGGAAAGAAAAAATTCTTAAAAGGAACTGGAGCAAGTGCCTAACATTTCTTTGTTCAACAGACATATAAAATCCTAGCTTACTGATTATGTTTTCTCATAAGCCTGTAAATTTCAAACTGGTAATCTCCTTCTCCCGTAAATAGAGTTAGGTCATTGCTTAGGTCAGTAAAGACTGTGCAGCCATCTGGAATGTAAAGAACGTTATTTCAAACTCATGAAAAACAGTTATGCAGTTTAGAAAAAAAATTCAAATTAAACAGAGAAAAAATATGATACATTATTCATTTATTTTAACTTTATAAGCAACTTTCAAAATTACAAAAATTAATAAGGCAACTTTCTGTCTCCATTATACAGCATACAAATTATAAGTTTTCTAAGTGTTTTACTAAAACTAATCTAAAACAATTTTCTACCTGAAAAATATTTAAGTAAATATAAAATATGTTCCAGAAATATTTGACTGTTTCTAAGTTGTTTGTGTGAATCTTTATCTTTTTTCAAATATTCTATGATGACATTTAGCAAAGGTTTTCTAGCTCCAGTATTCAACTGAGCTACAAAACTACTAACACCTTTATGTACTCTTTAAAGTCTAAATAAACAATGAAGCATGCAAACATATAAATTTGACAATGTATTATAAACTTTTCAACGTACTCCTATGCCTCCCAATTTTTAACTTGTTTCTAAGTTATATAAAAACATTTAAGATTTACTTAAAAAAGGCGTACTTTTATCAAAATATATTGAACAATGTTTACAAAGTAATAAATGTTTAAAGGTGTTATGGAGAATAAATATCAAAATGATAAAATAAGATGTGCAAATATGAATGTTTTTACATAAAAAAGCATTAGAAATCAAAATTGTGTGCACCAAATACTCTACATATGTCATTCACATATATGTGCATATTTGGTTGATTGAAAAAGAAAAAAAACATCGTATTGAAACAAAACATGGAGATCATTTTCACCATAAACTGATAGATGAATTATACAGTAATTATCTGTAATGAGGAGTTACTGTTAAACTGAAAATTATACTAGTCTCATTTTTATCAATCAGCCACAACAAAGTGCTTACTGTATTGAATTTATGCTGTAATTATCTCAAGTGGTCAAGAATAAGAGCATAGTAAACACAACACAGTAGTGCCAAAATGCCAGGTGCTAGATGACAAAAACACTGAAACCCAAAAATATTCAAGTTTTCATTATGTTTGTTTATACCTAGAATAAAATACTCTTTATGTCAAAAGCTCATCTACAGCATCATTTCTACAAATTGTTCTAATTCTGTGTATACAAGTTATTCAGATGAAGTTTAATAATCAAACATTCTACACTCACCTTTTCTAATGTAAAGATTGTCCACACATCACTTAACAATACTCTTAACACTCATCTTTCTAATTACCAAGGCATTCTACTTAAGATAATTCAATGCACTTATTAAGAAACTAATGAGAATCTATAGTACAGGTTATTTGGATTTTTCTAGTCACGATATGGTGTTAACTGTCATATGTATAGAGAGTTGAATACATTATATTAATGACTTTGGGAAGAGTGTAAAACCGCCTTTCCTGATACAAGGTATTCATACAATCAAATCATAAAGATGTGTTCACATCAAGTATCTTGAATTTCTATAATGGATATATTCCTTCTGCTTAATGACATTGGAAAGCAATGGAATACAAATAGACTAGGGGCACATAAATCAACCAGAAAGAGACTACAACAAGCCATACCCCAGGAGCACTCAGTAGAGCACATACCTCTGCTATGCAGTACTGATAATATTCAGACTTCAAGAAATAGGAAAATCTGTCTGTATGTCCATTGTTACCAATGGACAAGGACCATTTTTGGCAGGACAATATGGAATAATTTTCTATATACATCCACCAAATTTCATCTCAGTTATAGAGCAAAAATAATGTGAAAAATTGGTTCCCATGTTAACAGATAGGTATTTTTGAATTTCTGTGACCTTCCAAAAACTAATCACTTCTAAGTTGGGTCATAGTCCAAATGTATACCACCTCTTGTCCAAATCGATTAACTGTTTTTGAGAAATCTTGCTGACAAACACACAGGGGTGAAAACATAACCTTCGGTGGTAGAGGTAACAATGATAAGGTTTCCATGCAAACCTCCCATACCTCAAGCAGTTGCTGAGAAGTGAAATGAGTATTCATAGTATTCCATATAAGACATATAGGAAATTAATTCAATTAATGTCCGTGAAACTGGATTCTCGAAACAGCCACTGGGAACCATCATCTTCATAGATTAGATGGATTATGGAATCCATATAAGAAGGAGTGGTGTGCCTTGTATACTACAGCCTTAAGACAGATCATTTTGCAATTTAAACTATGCTGCAGAGCTATTGTTCAGATTTAATGCCATTGGACAAAGCATGACAACATGGATTGTAACAATGGGATGAGACTCCAAAATTATTTTAATATAAAATACTCAACCTCTGACTACTTACAACAGCTTCATCTATAAAAAACATTCAACACCTGTTTATGTGCTATAAGAGAAATTCGCATTACAATCTTATTACTTTTTTTGTTGTGCTTAATTACTTTTTACATTTTCCAATAAAGAATGTTTCAAATGTTTAGAAAAAACAATAAAATGCTTAACCCTTTCCACATGGGTCAAAGGCCATGTCATC